CCTCCCGCCCCCCCCCCCCCCCCCGTGACAGAGACCCCACCTGCCCCCAGCTGGCCCCCAGCTGAACCGGTGCTCAGTAAAGAGTGATGAATGCCCTCCTGCTCCCTCAGCAGTGTGGCTGCCCATCCCTGGGGTCCAGCGCCGAGAGCTGGGTGTGGACGAAGCCACAGGAGCAGCTGCCAAGGGGCGGCCCAGCAGGGGGGCCCAGTGCCGACAGCTGCCAGTGAGGGGTGGGCCTGTGTGGCCTGCAGCCTGGCGGGCCACATGGGTCTGGAGGGTCCCCGGCTGGGTGGGATTTGCAGCTGCAGAGCCGGCTGGGTCGCCCCTGGCTTCTAGGAGGGAACCGCTCCCTGGGAAGCGTGGCTGAGGGGAGGTGGGCCTACTGACTGGCGGGGCCTGCCTGGCTCTGTCCTGTGCTGTGTCATCACTCAGGGCCCAGGGCTGGCCCGCTGGACTGGGGCTGGGGATCTGGTTTCCACCTTGCTGCCGCATTTGGAACGTGGTGTCTGAGCATCCTTGGAGGGTAGGGTTACACCCCCTGGTGTCCCGGCCCGCCCAGCAAGGACACCTTCCGGACCAGAGGGCACCGGAGCTGGGGTGGGCGGGGAACCTCTCCCGAACATCAGAACCCCTGCTGAGGGTCGAAGGCCCAGGAAGCCCTTGGGGACCTTTGCTCTGCAGGAGTGTTCTGCTTCCTCAAGGCGGGGTGGCACAGCGGCCTGGGTCCCCCTCCCCAAGGGCGCACGCGTGCCTGGAGTGTCCTGCTCTGCTTCCACACGTGTCTTATCGTGGTGGGTGACTGGCTGGCTGGGGGCTGCAGCTAGGTGCTGCCATTTCTCTGGAGCCTCCCAATGGGGCGGGTGGCTCTGGGTTAATAACAAGAATGACAGTGGCTCATGGTTTTCTGTGCCAGGCAGAGTTCCAGCAATAGGTTTTTCAGCTAGTGTCACAACCAGCCACGAGGAAGGGACGGTGAGTCTTGGCCAGCAACACCGAGGGGGTTCAGCTTGTTGAGCGGGAGCTCTCGGCCACCACCTGTCGGCCAGCAGAGGGAGGGGAAACCCTGACCTTGCGCCCACAGGGAAGCTAGGCCCTGACCAGGTGGAAGGGGACTTAGCATAAAAGGTGGGGCAGAGGCCGGGGTCTCTGCTCATAATTGCCCTCTCTCACCTTATCTAGAAAAGAAAGCGCTATTCACCTGTGCATCCGGCAGATTCCTGAGCCGGACTTGGATGAACAAAATAGGGGATTCCTGCCCTCTTCTGGTGGGGCAGGGCTGGGGAGCCCTGGGGGCTGTGGTCCCGCTTTGGGGACAGGTCTGAAGGAGGGTGGGAGCTGGTTGATAGCTGGGGAGACAGCACCGTCAAAGGCCCTGAGGGGAGCGTGGCTGCCTCTGAGGAATGGCCGGGGTGGGTGAGGGCAGGGGGACACCAGTGGGGAGACACCTCTGGCTGCTCTCTGAGTGAGCTGGGAGGGTTCCGAGCTGAGTGGGACAGCCTCTACCTGCATGTTTGTGGGATGGGACGCAGTCCAGGTGGGAAGGAGGCAGTCCACAGGTGCTGAGATGGGGGCAGGGCAAGGAAGCAGGACCTCCTTCCCCATCCGGCCTTGGGTCAGGGGGCTGGGTATGCAGATACGCCTCATTATAGATCCTGGGATCCAGGGGTCCCAGACAGCCCAGGACAGACCTCCAGCCCCTACAGGCACAGTGGCCTTTTGTACTCATTGTAAGAAGCACATTTTATCAAATTTCAGCATCCCTGAAACAGCAAACCATCTAGTCGATGGTGTCAGAGCCAATGGAAAATGGTAACGGTGAACTTTTAAAGTCACCTTATGTCTACTTTTTTATTCTATTCATCTCCCTTTGGCAGTGGTCTGGTCTTTATTTTGTAAATCCTGGTGTCCTGGCCTGTGTCAAAGCTGTGTGGGAGAGGAAGAAAAAGCAGAAGATGCAACTTTTGGCGTCAAGGACACTGATCTTTTGGCTGGAAGGATGTGAAGGAAGCAGGACCTTTGCTTGGTCCTTGTGCACAGTAGGTGCACCATAATGCTGGTTGAATGAACAAGCCCGAGACCCCACCCCAGAGTCACTAAGCAGCTGTGCTAGGAATCACCTGGGTCTGGCTGATACCCTCTCGATAAGCCCTTGTAGGAAGAAGGGAGAAGTTCTTCACGAGTGAGACCCCCTGCTCTTCCTGGGGTGTGAAGCAGAGGAGTGACCGATCACACAGGCAGGGACAAGGGCAGGGGTCCTTGGCAGCCGGGCCAAGCCGTAGGCTGGGTAAGCCCTTGTAGGAAGAAGGGAGAAGTTCTTCACGAGTGAGACCCCCTGCTCTTCCTGGGGTGTGAAGCAGAGGAGTGACCGATCACACAGGCAGGGACAAGGGCAGGGGTCCTTGGCAGCCGGGCCAAGCCGGAGGCTGGGGGGGGTCAGCAGACCCCAGGGTTGCCCAGGCCAGGGCAAAGGTGAGCGGTGTTTCTGACACCCCAGGGTCAGCAGTGGGCTAGCAGCCTGGCAGAGCCCCCAGTGAGGGAGTGAAGCCCCTGGCCCCTGCAGGGGGCCTGCTGCCCTGCCCTGTGGAGGCAGCACCCGCGTGGGGAGACTGGAACTGGGGGCCCAGGGCCTGGTATGAACAGATATGATAGTGTTACCCTGTGCTACGCTGCTGACCTATTTTCCAGCACATTCGTGCCAAGAACTTGGCCCAAATCTCAAGTTCCCTGCTGTGTGCCCAGGGTTTTGCCCCAAGCATGGAGGAAGTGCTCTGCACATACCCAACACGAATGAGTGAAATAATGAAGTGAATGAATGAATAGCATAAAACCCAGCATGGCTGCAGGGAGGGAGGGATGGGCATCGTCCCCCGTTTCCCCAGCCCCTGTCCCTGGAGTCAGTGCTCCTCCTCGGAGCATTTTGAGGATGCTGGGTGGGTCCCATCTAGGCTCAGCCCCCGCAGGGCAGGGCCCAGGCCTCTCTCTCCCAGTCGGACAGACTTGGAGGTAGGTGGCCCAGAGACTTGGTCTCCCAAAGGCACCTTCAAGAAGCGCACCCCGTCCTCTCCCCTCCATGTCTGTGCACTTTGATATTAAGAAATTACTGTTAATTTGTTTAGGTGCAAAAATGCTGTTTTAATTATAAAAACCTTATCTTTTAGAGGGAATTTCAGAGATACTTAAGGATGAAACAATATGTCAAGATTGGCTACAAATTACTAGTGAAGGAAGGTGGGTGCAGGCGGGTGAGCAGCCGGCAGGTGGCACGGGGTGAGGGGGGGGGGTGGGGGCTTTACCATACTGTTCTCTCTACTTGTGTGTGTGCCCCTCTCTCCAGAGTAAGTTCCAAAAAGTCAGTGAACTCAGAAAATGACAGTCACAGCTACCCACGCGTGACGCCCCCATGTGGGCAGGACGTGGCTACGGGGTAAGAAGCGTGTGAAGCCCACCTCCCGCTGCTGTGGCCCAGCCCCACCACGATGCCTGCGCAGAGGAGGTTCCTGGAGCACTGAATGAGTTAGGTCTCTGGGGCTCCAGTAAGTGACGTTCAGAAACCGAAGGGTCGTTAAGCTCCCCTCCCTCAGGCCTGCCCTCTGCTCCCTCTCTCTGCAGGCAAGGGGGGACCTCCACTGAGAGAAGGGGACACGGAGCTCAGAGGGGCCTGGCTGCTTTGCCGGCATCCTCAGCCCTTGCTCTCCAAACCTGCCTCATCAAATCCTCGCAAAGCCACCACCCGGAAGCCCCGGGGTCCTCGTACTGCCAATGGGAAGAAAAAGCTGGATCCCTCCCACAAACGACAAAACAAAGAAAACCCACACCCACTAGCCCCTGAGTGTCTCTGGTGGTGCTCGGAGGGAGCGTGAGACATGGGCCCCTAGACAGCCGTCTGGAATGCACCTGCCCAACTCAGCCTGCAGATAGAGCAGTAGGTGGACCCACTGCTTCAGGGCACCTCCAGGGCCAGCATTTTGGTCTGGTGTGGCTAGGGGACCCCCAGCAGACCCCTATGTGGTCAGGGAGTGGCTCCCTGGTATGGGACCTCCCGGGAACCCCGGGTGCATCTGGGGCCTGGCCGGGTGGGTGGAGGAGCCCGGCAGTTTGCATCCAAGTTCCGAGGCCGATGGCACAGGAAACCCCTCCTGAAAGGTTCCTGGGAGGTTCCTAGGAACCTGTCCTAGGAAAGGTTTCCCTCCCACCAGGCCAGGGCCAGAGTAGGACCAGACTCCAAGGGGAGAGGCCCCCGGTACATCTCTACCGTCCCCATAGCTGGCAGGGGCCGTGAGGAGGGGTCACTCCGTGCACACCTGTCCTCCCAGATGTGTAAGCTCCGGGGCCTCGCCCCGGCAGCCAGCAACCCCTGGTGCACCCCCCACCCCCCCACCC